CTGGACGAGCCTGAAAGTCCCATGGGAAGCAGGCCAGTCAGGGAGTCTGTGAGGCAGAAGAGGGGGAGCTAGCCTGTTTCCTCCGAATGTGGGGTTCAGAGCAGACCACCTCCTTCCTAAGTTATTGTGAAATGAAGAGTGGGTGAAGAGGTGCAAAATCTCTTGTATTTTCTCTTTTCTGCCATGTGACTCATTTTGTTTTACACCAAAAAGGTGCTCTCGTCTCGGTGCTTCCCATCCCCAGTCCGGTGTTAATCGGTAAGACTGGGTCGTGGAATTGAGTGTATTCAGATCTCCTCCGTTGACTGTCTTGTCTCCCCAGGCTGCCCACTTAACCCTTTAGAGGCCTCGCTGCCATAGGAGGAAGCCAAGGTCATCATAAACAGCTGTGATATTCCGGAAGTTAATTCTGGAATACTGGAAAGGGAATTAAAATCCAGGAATCAAGATCCTGGACATAATTTTGTAAAATAATTGAAAAATATCAAGTGCAGGAAATATAAGTCGTAGAAAATCAAACCCAGCAGAGAACAGTGTAAATGTGTGTATTGCTTCTATCACCTCACTGAATTTTTATGGGATTCGTGCTTACAAAATACCGTTTTCCTCCCTCAGGTTGTGGACATCATAAATGAGAGGTTGTTGACAATAGCAAATACTCTTATTAATACATTATCTCACTATTTTAGTATATTTTAAATTTAAGTTCCATGTGTACATAGCTCACACAGTCAAACAGTGCAGTTGTTTACAGATCACTCAGAGGCACTTGGAAGCTCTTTGTGCATCAGTGGTGGGTGTAGTCCCTTCAGATCCAAAGCGGGTCAGTCAGGTAGCTGGTGGCCCGTTTGTTGGGGACCTCCTAGTTGTCTTTGCCTGTGTTAGTGAAGATACAGGCTTGGCAGCTGAACCAGGGACCTGAATAAACAGCAGGCGGTGAAACAAGGTGGAAGTTGATTCTTCGCTCACGTGACAGCTTAGGTGTACGTTGTCCGAGGATATCATGGCAGCTCCGTGGGTGGGGGCTCCAGGCTCTCCCCTGTTTTTGCCATCCTTAGGGCAAAAACTGCTGGTCCCTGGAGCTGGGCAAGGAAGGGGCTAACGATATCACCTCTCAGGATGCCTTCTCCATGGTCTCCACGATCATTCCAGCACTTACCCAGCCCCCTGCCCTGGACGTGCATCCCTGAGCCTGGCTCATCTCTGGTTAGGCTTCCCTGAGAATTAAGTTCTGGCTTCCTGCTAGAATGTGGAGGGGTGTACATCTTCTGTGTAGGGAGGCTCTAGGAACCAGGGGTTACACCTGACTTCCCAGCTGTAGGTCCCCTCGCCCCCGCCTTTCAAAGTACCTGATCTGGAATTGTCCGAGCCTTTTGGGAACTTCTCATTGGTTTGTACGCCAGCTGGTAGTTGACATCTGGTATATGTTGCTTTAATTTTTTTTTTCAAAATGAGGCTGGAAACTAGTATATATAGTCTCATGGCCACAGTATTTCTTGCTGTTACTAAAATGATAAACCCAATTTTTAGCTTAATCTATGAGGCCGTTCAGTTCATCTCACTTCATTTATAATTACAATTTTTCTCTAATTACCTATTTTAAATCTCTTTCTATTCAAATGTATAGGTTAGATATTTGGTGGGGTGTGGGGGAAGAAAAGGTAGCCTTAGTTTACAGGAGAAAGCTTTGAAAGACAGCCAGGAAAGTGAGGAGGAGAACAGCTGTAGCACAGAGTCCTTGAACATCCGGCACCTCCTGACAAGGGCAGCCTGACAGTAAAGCTGAGCGTCTCTGAGAGCGCGGGAATCTGGCATGTGCCCTGACTCTGGCCTCTGGCCCTTCTTTGGGCACCGGTCCAAGATGTGTTAAATATGGGTGTTCATCTGCAAATCACTTTAGCTAATTTGGATATTGTTTGCTTACTGCACGGGATGCTAAATGCAAGTGTTTTGTTACATTCTTTCATCTGGATCCAGCCTTTTCTTTCATCCCTTCACAGCCTGTATAACCCCCTTTATATGGAGTCAGATTGAAATGGTCTAGCCTGCTAAAAATACAAAAACGCCATGAGTTGGGTTCTGTCAAGGTAATTTAACCTCTCCAGAATATAGTGAAGATCGACCTTTTCTTTCCATCAGGATCTTTTATGCAAATCTTTTCGTTTTCTCAGGTGTATAGCTGTTTGGGTTGTATCATCTTGAACAAAATTGTATAAAAGAACTTTCAGATTTAAAGAAATGTAAACGCTGTTCATTGTAAAAAAAAAAATAGTGTCCAGGAAATTCCTAGAATTTGGAAAATAGGGAAAAAGCACAATGGAAAAAGTAAGTCGTGTGTGTTTGTGTAATCATGTAAAATCCACTACCTAAAGTTTTTAATGTTAACATTTTTGTGTAGTCGTACCTATACATCTGTGTTTTAGAATTTTTAAAATTTACTGACAGTCCTGAAAATACCTGAAAATTTCCAATGTGATCTGAGCCATAAACTGGCAGCAGTCATTAGAGATAAGGCTGGAGGTTTCATACTGTGAGACCATGCAGGCTTTAAATGCTAAGCTCCACGCAGTTTGTGATTTTTGACAGAGTTACAGGGTGAATGCTGCATTCAGGAGGAATATTCTGGCAATTCTATGTAAAACGAAGTATAGGGAGCATGGATTAAGTGCATGAAATCCTGTCTCACGCTTGCAGATGGCAGTTATTCAGAAGCTCTTGGTCTGTGGGCTCTCCTTGTTTTTTCACCTGACCGTCTCAAGAACGTTGCCAGTGGAATACAACATTGATGAGCGTTTCCAAGCTACAGCTTCGTGGCCGACAAAGGTTGTCTATCTGTATGTCTCTATTTTGGCTGCAAGACCCAAATACTACTTTGCATGGACGTTGGGTGAGTAACACGTGAACAGACTTCTCCGTTAGCAGTGGAGGCGTCCTCCCCAGTAGGTGGCCCTGAGAGTGCCCTCCTGAGGACACGCAGTTAGAGGCCAATGAGAGAAGCTAGGGCCGCCTATGCAGAAGAAATAAACCTCAGTGCTCATATCCCACATACAAGGAGGTAGCCTCAAAACTGTTAGGAGGTCCTAAATACTGGATCAAGGCCCGTTTTATTATAATATCAGATAAAAGTGAGAATAAAGTTACTTTATTTAAGAATAAAAGCTGTGGGGAGGGTATAGCTCAATTGGTAGAGTACAAGCTTAGCATGTATGAGGTCCTGGGTTCAATTCCCAGCACCTCCGTTAAGTAAGTAAATAAATAAACCTAATTACCTCCCCCCTCGAAAAAACAAACAAAAAAGATTTTTTTAAATTAAAAAAAAGAATAAAAGCTAATAGGATATGATAACATACATCTTCTGGGAGAACATGGTAGTTTATTACATAGGTCTTTTTTTTTTTTTTGGCTTATAGTTATTTTTATTACTGCAAGTTCCGTAATAAAAATCCCACTTGAACTTCTGATTTTAGTTATCTGTGTCTTAATCCTTGTCTCCCTCTGTGTGCCACAGCGGACGCCATCAATAATGCTGCCGGCTTTGGTTTCAGAGGCTATGACAAAAACGGAGCAGCTCGTTGGGACCTAATTTCCAATCTGAGAATTCAGCAGATAGAGGTTAGTAAATCATTAGGAAGTTGATTACCATATGACACTTTAAGTACTGTAGTTTGCTTTCATAGGCTAGAGTTTGATGTCCCAAGAGCGGTACTGACGATACTGGAAGCTTTATCATAAGAATCCTCATTCTTCCCTTCACCCAGTATTTATTGTTCTTCAGCCACGTGCCCAAGGCACTAGGGGTCCAGGGGATGAGATCCGAACAGTTGGGCACCCCGGGAGCTTTGATCTAGCCGGCGTTACAGGGACACAGAAAGGCTGGTTGTGATGAGAGGGGCATAGGGGACTGCAGGTTAGGAATCCACCTTAGACTAGGGGGCTCGGGGCCCTGAAGGACACAGGGTCACAGGCTGAGTCCTAAACGGTTATGAGGAGGCAGCCAGGCACTCCAGGCCGAGGGGGCGGCCTGAGGTAGCAGGGGAGGGGTGTGGTAAAACTCCTGCTGGTATACAGCGTAGGAAGTATGACTGATGAGGCTGGAGAAGTAGAGGCCGAGGCAGGCACAGTCTTAGAGGCCGCGTGAAGGGTTTTGAACTTTCTTACAAGAGCGGTGGAGCTTGCGGGTGGGTGACGTGCAGGCCCGTGAGCTGATCGCGCGTGTGTGTCAGGAGGATCGGCTACGTCAGGTCGAAGGTGTTACCCTCGGAGGCAGTGACCTGTTGGGAGGGTGTTGTGTTAAGCCAGCATGACAGTGACCTAAACCAGGGAAGTGACAGTGGGCTGGAAAGATGTGACCACATTGGAGAGCTGTTTAAGACGGTGGTGCCTGGTGGGGCATCCAGTTCAGTCCCCTGTGACCGGCCACCGGAAGGTCATTTTCCTGCTCTGTCAGCAGGACTTGGTGATACGCTGGAATCAGCAAGAGAGGATGAGGTAGGAATCATGCCCAGGTGTCTGGTTTAATCAGCTGGGTTTATGGTGGCACTGTCCACTGAGGTGAGGAACAAAGGGAAGGCACAGGTTTGAAGGGAGAGAGAATGTGTTCAAATCTCAGACTTAGTGCAGTGGTCCAGCAGGCCGGTGACGGCTGGGGCGTTAGCTGAAACTTCGGCACTTGGGATCGTAATTTGGGAACTGTCAGCACGCAGTATTTCAGATTTTGGGAGAAGCCACAAGAGTAGCTGTGAGGGACCCTGCCGGGTAGGGGAGAGACAAAAGTCCCCATCTTACCTGCTGGGTGAAGGAAGGCATGTGGGAGGGGCAGCTGGTCAGAAAACCTGGGCCTTGCTCTGCAAGCCTGTGCAAGGACTAGTTCCAAATGGGAGAAGGTACCAGAACTTGGAGTGACAGGTTGACAGGGAATGGATGGTGAATTGATCAGGCTGACCCCACCGCTGAACCTTAGTCACAGTTGGGCATTAAACACCTGCGGGCACGGTGCCACAGGATGTACAGGCCCGCTCGGCTTCCTAGCTCTCTCTGCAGGTAGCAGGAGCCTGGAATATAGAGAAGGAAGCGAAGCACCAGATCCAGAAATAGGGGATTCTGCAGGACACATGACCCAGTTTTCCTCAGCAAACACAGGGCATGGGAAAAAGAGGGGTGGAGAGGGGCTATTACAGATTGAAAGAGACTCCAGCCACATGTACCGTGGAACCTTATTTGTATTCTGATTGAGCAGGCCAACTGGGAAACCATGTTTTTAAACCATCAGGGGTATTTGAATGCAAAATGGATATTAGATGATATTAAGGAATTATTATTCATTTTGTTTTCCGAAGGTCCTTATTTATTGGACATAAATTCTAAACTATTTACGGGGGACATAAGATGTGTATATTTGCTCTGAAATATTCTTAACACTGTCAGTAATAAAATGGGGAAGGAGAGGGGAAATTGATAATTGTGGAAACTCGCTGATAAACAGATGGCCATGTTCTAACCTTTTGTTCTTTATTGCCAAGTAAGGAGCCTTTGAGACTTTTTCCCCCAATCACCTCCCCATGAAATTTTAATACAACAGATACCCTGTGTATCTGTTTATGTCCTATATGTGTATACGTGCTTTATACATAAAAAGAGTAACATTTTCTTTTGCCTCCTAAGAACCTATTTTCATCCTCAGACTTTGACAAGAATAGTGAATAACAGAGCACAGAATCTAAGATGGTGACAAGTGCAGACTGGAGGAGGGGTCATTACGCTGGGGAAGGAGAGGCCAGGTGACCAGAGGTTCCCTCTGACATCACAGGGTGGCATTAGTGGGGCAGCAAAGAGCCACTCCTCCAGGGGCGGCAGGTCCAGGGTGCCGAGACCCCCAGGAGCCCAGGAGGGGGCGGCCGAGGAGCAAGGCAGTGAGGGAGCAAAGAGACGGTGCCTGATGGGACATCCAGTCCAGTCCCCAGTGACCGGCCACTGGAAGGTCATTCGCCTGCTCTGTGAGGAATGTCTTTGGGATAATTCCGTGACAACCCTGTGGATGTTAACACACCAGAGAAAACGGTGAGAATTCACTTACCTCGGGGATGCTCCCTGCAGTAGGCAGACCGCTGTCACAGACTGTTGCCGCACTGTGAGGACAGCAGTACTGAGGAGCGAGCTCAGTACCCTGCCTCCGCTGGCAAGCAGTGTCCTTTCCGCACAGGAAGACGGTATCGCTTATAGTTAAAGCTTCACCATTTTGTTGGCCAAAGGATAAAGTTCCTTTGTTTTGCAGATGTCAACAAGTTTCAAGATGTTTGTGGATAACTGGAATATTCAGACAGCTCTCTGGCTGAAGAGGTAAGCACCTTCAGGAGCCACCATTCGCTGTGCTCGGGTCTCTGGCTCTTGTGTTGAGTTTCACTGAGTTCACATTCTCAGTTAGGTTAATGCTGTGACTTGTGTTGACCAGAAAACACAGTTAATGTCCTCCAAAGCAGGGAACCACCGAATCTGAGAGCCATTTAGGCTTGAGTCATGCATGAATGCAGCTCGCACTGACCTCTCCGCCCACCTTCGGAGGCACCCACCAAGGTCTGAGATCACTAGCGCCCTCCCGCTCTCATTCTCCGGAGAGTTGCTCAAACACAGATGTACGTGCGTCCTAGATTTTCCACAAGTTCCAGGTTTTAAATATTTCAGTACAACAGACCTTCCTACGTTGGGCATAAGATGCAGAGATGAGTAAGATGGACAGAACAGCCCCTGCCGTCAGAGTCCCAGTCTTGTTAGAGACGTGACAGTGTCAACCACGCAGCACGCATGCGCGCATACACGCACACACTTGCCGTTCCCTGTAGTGAGAGGGAGGGAGGGAGGGAGCAGGAACAGTGGGGCACAAAGGGGAAGGAGGAGCTCGCACTGAGATTTGGGGTTAGGAGGTTGTCACGGACAAGGGGAAGGGGAGGGCAGCCCCGCAGGGGACCGTTTACAAAATATGATGTTAGGACACTGAAGACACTCCCAGGGGTTCTCGTTGTTCCCAGTGGGACACGCTGTCCGATGTTGAGTGTATTTCATAAAATACTGTTCCTGTGATGGTAGGGCTGTAAGTACTGTTGTGTGTAAAGCAGCCTTCTTTTGTGATGTCCTTTATTCATGACAAGTTTAGTTTCTTTACCCCTTGAAATATCCAAAATAGACTGTCGACACTTCACGGTGCCTTGCACTCTGCCCGGTGGCTGCGGATTTTCTGAGCTAATCTGTGGTGTTACTTCTTGTTGTCGTTGTGTTTTAAATTTGATACCTTAGGAAAATCTTACTTTCATCTGATTTCTCTGCCTGTTACAGGAAAACTTTAGACTAAGCACAACTTGCTTCCCAGAAGAGTATCCTTAGATCAGGTGAAAGTTCTAAGTATCACTGAAGAAAATAATAAAATAATATAAAATAAAAATAACTTTTATGTTTGTTAATGTCTTTCTGCAAATAGTCTGGACTCCCAAACACTGGAAATGATCATTTTAGCTGTTATATGTATCAGTGAAGAGATAGGAATTAAGTATCTTTTCATAAATCTGATACTTAAAAGCCGTAACCTCCCTGAGGTCACAGATCCAGCTGATGCCTAAGATGAGCTGTGGTTGTTTTCCTAAATCCCGACTGGTAATAAAAGAGTGATCACTGTGGGCTTTTTATAAACTCTAATCGCTCATGGTTTCCA